ATTCACTACTAGAAATTATGAAATTTCTGACCACCCGAAAATGATCTTAAATCAAGTCGAAAGTCTTGTTTCGACCACTTTTGATATCCGAAAAACTTTTGTTGCTATTTCCGACCACTTTTTGGTATCAATTTGATTTAAAATCACTTTTAGGTGGTCGGAAATTTCATAATTTCCAGTATTGATTACTGGTAAATTAGCTGACCCCATTCTATATGTATCTAATAAAAAAACACGTCAAATATTAACTAATAAGGAGTGATATCTCTGACATGTAAAAGTCCCACAATATTACAAATCCATCTAATTGGTAATAAAATTAATCAATTTACAACTGATTAATAATCCTGAAATATTTATAGCAAACTATATGTTTACACCATTTACTCATTTAGAACAAAAATTTACATCGTTTCCAAATTGAGAAATGTACCAATAAATATTATTTTGTTTGTTTTTTTTTTTTCTTCTAATTTTTCATTTCTCTCAATATTAAATACAAAAGTAACTTTAACAAGTTGAAAAAGTATAAATGAACAAATACTACAATGTAATAGAGTCAGTAGCTTTCAAAAAAAAATTGAAAGTAATATTCTTGGCAAATTATACTGTAGACCATTATTCACACTAATAAATGTTTATATTTAACATACTTACAATTCATTTTTAATATATTGTAAGTTCATTTGTAGGTAGTATACTAAAATAAACTTTCAAAAAATAACATATAATATATCAAAAATAACATTCAAGATGTGTTTGGTTAATGTGTTTGCACATTAGAAATGAGAATCAAAATCATAATTAGTGTTTAGTTGACAACTTTTTAAATCACAACTATGAGTTTTGATTACCCCGTCAATTAAAAATGGAGAGCTAATTAACCAGAGGTCCCTTGTCTTTGGTGACAATTCCAAATTTAGTCCTAGATTATCATTTTTGCCATTTAACATCTTAGACTATCATTTTTAGACACTTTTAGTCATTCTCATGACTTTTCCTTTTTATCAAGGATATTTTTGTCTCTTCATATTTTTCTTTTGTTATTTTTCTGGTTTCAACCTGTTTAATTGGTTTATGACTTTACTAAAAACCGGTTGAAAAATATGATTACTAAAAATCAGAGGTTACCTAAAGTCCTAAACTAATTAAACCGGTTGAAACCAGAAAAATAACAAAAAAAATGAAAACACAAAAATTTCCTTACTATAAATTAAAAAAAAAAAAAAAAAAAAAAAAAAAAAAAGTCATGAGAAGAACTAAAAGTGTCCAAAATATAATAGTTTGGGATGTGAAATGACAAAAATGATAGTCTATGATTAAATTTAGAATTTCCACCAAAGACAAAGGACCTCTGGTGGTATTACCTCTTAAAAATAAGTATCATTCCATCTCATTGATAATTTAATTTTCAAGTTTGGATTACTACTTTTAAATTTTTATTTTGATTTTTTTTTGTGCATATGATGCTTTAGATGTCATTATATTAGGATCAATTGTCTTGATTTTTAGTTTTTATATTTATAAAACATTTATTTTCATTATAGTGTCATACACACAACCAAACATCAATATTGGTAGTCGGTATTCCAATTTCACCTTACTATCAAACATGTAAAATACTTTTACCAAAAAGCTCATTAACATTACTAAGCATTTAATTCTCATTCTCATGTGCGAATCAAACACAACCTCAATATATTAAAAATGAATATACATTGTAATAGTACAATGACTATAGTATATGTTACTCTATGGTATAATGATTGTTTTTTGTTTAGATGTTTTTGAAATCTATTGGGCCTGATAAAAATCTTGATTTTTGTCAAGCCCTGGTAAAACTACACATGTTGATGTATACCATGGACCAAAGTTCATATTACATTGTAAATTTTAATACAAAAATTATGTATCTTTAGTTAACACATTTTGTATTTACAGTTAACAATTTTTGTTCATATAAACAAATAACTTGATAATTGCTGATACATGATATGATAGTTACAAGTATAGAAAATATAAACTGCAGATACAAAATGTGTCAACTATAAATATACAATTTGAATGTTATTTTTAGACCAAGATCTACAATAAACTCGGTCCATGATAGCACTAATATAAAGAAAAATACTATAGAGCTCATCCAGCAATATGAGAAATTTCTCTTATATAAAAAACAAAGCAAATCATGAAATAATAGTAAAATGTTGACCTTTTTTTATTTGTAAACATATGTTCTCACTATGCACCTCTCGCTGAACAAGTAGAAGAGGTTGAAAAAAAAAAAAAAATCACTGTAACACTAATGTTCAGTCATCACATCACAAAAGATAATGGGAGTGTTTGATAAATAACTATGGAATAAGGTTTAAATTGGCCACTGAACGTAACCTGAAAATACAATTAGGTCACTGAACGAAAAAAAGATGCAATTTGACCACTGAACACACAAAAACGTGCAATTAGGCCACTGAACACTCTAAATGTATGCAATTTCACCGGATAGCAGGTTACCATCAATTTTAGCAGGTTACCTGCTTACGTGGCGGCTGAGTTGGCATTTTTAATAATTTTTAAATATTTATAATAATTTTTAATAATAAATTTTTTTTAAAAAAAATTAAAAATAAATAAATAAATAAATTTAAAAAAATTAAATTTGTTTTAAATAATTTTTAAAAAAAAATTATTAAAAGTTATTATAAATTATTTAAAAATTATTAAAAATGCCAACTCAGCTGCCACTAACCTGCTAAAATTGATGGTAACCTGCTATCAGGTGAAATTGCACACATTTGGAGTGTTCAGTGGCCTAATTGCATTTTTTTTTCGTTCAGTGGCCTAATTGCATTTTCACGTTACGTTCAGTGGCCAATTTGAACCTTATTCCAATAACTATTAGTGAATTGTGTTAGTGGATTTAAGAAGCTAAAGCTATTAGCTAGTTGTCGAGAGATGTTTGGTAAATTAGTGTTACTTGTTAGCTGATAGCTGATCACATGTAAAAATGACCTTTAAAGGTATAATTTATTTTATCACAAAATTTATAGAAAAAGTTAATTTGAGCAACTTTTAAATTTTTACATTTTGAAACAATAAGCTAGTTATTACAAAAAAACCCATTACCCAAGCATTTATATTGTCTGTTTAACCAAGTTAAATAGCTAATAGTGATCAAACAAGTCTGTTAATTTTGATTTATTTAACAATTACTAGGGGTGTTAGCGAACAGAGCTTTCGGCAAACTACTCGTGTTCGTGTTCGGTAAGCGTTCGTTTATGTTCGTTTGTTAAGGTAAACGAACATTAACAAACAAAATTTAGAGCTCGGTTAATAAACGAACAGAGCTTGAACAGTTGTAAGCTCGTTTGCTAAAAGATCGTGAACAAGCTCGTTTGTGTTCATTTAATAATGTTCGTGAACAAGCTCGTTTATGTTCGTTTAATAATGTTCGTGAACAAGCTCGTTTGTGTTCGTTAATAATGTTCGCGAACATGTTCACAAACATATAAGTAAGTATATATATATATATATATATATATATATATATATATATATTAGTAGTATTAATTTAATACAAACACATAATAGTATTAATTTAATACGTACAAATACATAGACATGGGTAATTACTAATTACTTAATTAGCTAGGTAACTTAAACATTGTTTAATAAACAATAAATAAGTCACTTTTATTTAGCCATTTAGGGACTAGGGTTTTCCACGTTTCAAACTTCAGATCATCCTTCGCACTTTCAGTCTTCACACTTCACCGCTCAATCGTTCTTCTCCGCCATCATCGTTCACACCTCCACCGCGACTCCACCTTCACCGCTCACACAGTCACACCTCCACCGTGAGTCCGTGACTCTGCCTTCATCGCTCACACGTCCATCGCAACTCCACCAACGCTGTCTCTCGTAGCCACCTGCCCTGCTGCCCAGCCATCGCCGTCAGCCGTAACCACCACCCCAGCCAACACCGACTGCCGTAGCTACCACCCTAGCCAACGCTGACCACCGTAGCCACCACTTCCCAGCCCAACACCTCCGGCCTCTATTGACGGTAAATACCGTACCTCTGTAAACATATACTTCATTAGTGGTTATTGTTTAACTTCATTAGTGTTTATTGTTTATTGTTTAGCTTCATTAGTGTTTATTGTTTATTGTTTAACTTCATTCTGTAATTATCGGCTTGTATACTCAGTACTCACCCTCCCTATGAGCAAATGGCAGAAATAGTATACTTGATTACTGTTTATTGTTTAATTGAAAGCAGAGAGAAATTCATTGAAAACATAGAGAATTTTTTTTTCATTTCTTGATTAGTGTTTATTGTTTTAATCATACTGTTTCTTTTCTTGCTTGCCTAAGAGAAATTTCTTGTTTCTTTTAATCATTGAAAACATACGGTCTGCTACTCTATTGTTTAATCCTACTGTTTAATCCTCAGATCTCCTTGCTTGCCTGCTGACTGTTGTTTCAATCGTCCTCGAAGCTTTAAAAATACATACGGTATTTTTAATTTTTGTTTTTTTTATAGATTAATATTATTGAGTTTATATTCACTTTAGAGCTAGTATGCCACTTTGACATTGTATTTGTGTGTTTATTTGTTCTTTGAATTTTCTTGTTTAGCTGGTTGGATAACTGGACAAGATGAAGAAGAACAATATAACATATTGTACTATGTCAATGTGGTAGTATTCTTTATTCTCTACTTTTTTTTTTTTGTTTGCATTATTATAGAAAGAATATAACATATTGTATACATTTTTTTTAATTACTTGTTTGTATAATAGCTATGTCTTACGAAGATTACAACACAATTGATGAACCTTCAAGTCCAAGTGTTGGTTCTTCAACAATACCTATTGAAATGGAAGAACTAAACCCAACACCAAATCATCCAAATGTGGAAATCATTGGATTTGAAGGTGATGTTGAGAAGGACATTGGCCGAGAAGTTGAAGAAGTGGAAGGAGAAAGCGAACCTTATAAGAAGAAGCAAAGGAAAAAATCATCAGTTATTTGGCAAGAAATGACAGTGGTGAAACTTGAGAATGGGGAAGAAAAAGTGCAATGCAATCATTGCAACTTTAAATTGAAAAAGCAAAAGGATGGCACGACCACACAATATAAAAGACATTTAGACAGTTGCATAAAACGCAGAATCAATCTTTCAGGGCAAAGGAACATTTGTGTGGTTCCATCGACACAAAAATCAGAGAGTGTCAGTGGTGTTCAGAGTTGGAAGTATGATCAAGCAAGGATGAGGGAGGTTATATCTCACATGATTATGGTTCATGAATTGCCATTTTCGTTTGTTGAGTATGAACTCTTCAACATAGTCATGCAATCTGCAAGTCCATATTATGAGCGGATTGGTCGAACAGCAACCACAAAAGATTGTTGGTCAACTTATGAGCTAGAAAAGAAACGAGTACAAGGATTGTTGAATTCAGTTGACAAAATTAGTATCACAACTGACATATGGACATCAAATCAGAACATTCAATACATGGTGATAACTTCTCATTTTGTGGACATGGACAGTAAGTTGCAGAAAAGAGTTCTAAACTTTGTTGAAGTGCTTCCCCCGCATACCGGTACATGTGTTTGTGATGCAATATACAAATGTTTGCAAGGATGGGGTATTGAAGAGAAAGTGTGGACAATCACAGTGGATAATGCTTCTTATAATGATTCAGCTGTGAGGTTGTTGCATGACTCTCTTTCTTTTCATACAACTTTGCCACTAGAAGGTAAGTTGTTTCATGTTCGTTGTTGTGCACACATATTGAACATTCTTGTGCAAGATGGCCTTTCTGAGATTAAGTCTTATCATTGAAAATGTCAGAGATAGTGTCAAGTATATTAGTGCTTCACCTCAACGGTTGCATAGTTTTAATGAGATTTGCAAACAGCTCCAAGTGCCTAACAAGAAGTTGATTTTAGATTGTTGCACTAGGTGGAATGCAACATTTGCTATGTTATCTTGTGCTTTGGATTTCAAGCAAGTATTTCCTCGGTATCAACTTCGAGATCCAAATTACAAATGCTTGCCTTCTGAGGATGATTGGCAAAGGGTTGAAGAGATTTGCTCTTTACTGGTGCATTTCAATGAAGTTACTAAAATTATCTCAGGTAATTTATTATACAGTTCTAAACTTTATACATTTCAATATATATGATTGTTATATAATTATAGTATTTGTTTTTTGAATATAGGTTCTGAATATCCAACAGCAAATTTGTTTCTTCCTGAACTATATAACATCAAAGAAATTCTCGGTCAAAAGTCTGAAAGTGTAGAACCTTGGATGAAAAACATGGCCCAAAGGATGCATCATAAGTTTGACAAATATTGGGGTAGTAGCAATCTATTACTTTCTATTGCTGCCGTTTTAGATCCTAGAAATAAGATGACATTTATCCAATTTGCTTTTCCAGTCATTTATTCTGAAAAGGAAGCTACTACACAAATTGGTATTGTTCGTGATGCTTTGTATGAGTTATACAGGATCTATTTGGATAAACATACAACAGCTTCAAACCAATTAATGGAAAATGATTCTCAAGCAAGGAATACTTCTGTGCAAGGTGTTACTACTGTTTGGAAAGGGAAGGGACCGGCTGTTGAAACTGGGAGATCAAAATTTGAGAAATTTGTGAGAAATGTTGATACTGTCCAACATGTGAAGTCTGAATTGGATACTTATTTACAGGAGGGTGTATATATTTGTGAAGGGGATTCGGTTGAATTTAATGCATTGGATTGGTGGAAGTCAATGAACTTGAAGTTTAGAGTATTATCCAAAATGGCATGTGAAATCTTATCAATTCCAATCACAACGGTTGCTTCAGAGTCAACATTTAGTGCTGGTGGTAGGGTTATTGATACATATCGGGCATCTTTGGGGACCGATACTGTCCAAATGCTACTTTGTGGAAGTGACTGGTTGCGTAACTTATATGATATGAAAAGAAAACCAAAAGTAAGTACTGTCAATTCTTTTATTATATCATTTATTTTCAATACTTTTTATGTCATATAACAATATATTATATATCATTTAATGTAGTTTACTGAAGATGTGAAGACTATATCACTGGAATGAACTTGGAGTTAAGGTATTAAGCTTTTGGGATGATGGATGCAGAATATAAATATATCATGCTTTATGTTTTTATGTTTTGGCCCTGTTTTGGCTTGTAATGTGAGCAGACAAATTATGTGGACTTGGATTTTTATTTTGATATTAGATGCTACGTACGGATGGACTTATTAAGTTATTTGTATTAGTTTTGTTGTTTGTTTGATTACTATTCATGAACATAGATTATTTATTGTTCACGAACGAATTGTGTTCATGAACATGTGCATGTGTTTGTTTATTAAGTGTTCGCGAACATGTTAATGAACGTAAGTGAATATGTTCGTGAACGTGCTTGTTAATGAACATGTTCGCGAACGTGTTTGTTAACGTTAATGAACATGTTCGCGAACGTGTTCACGAACGTTAACAAACACGTTCGCGAACATGTTCGTTAACGTTAATGAACACGTTCGTGAACGTGTTCGCGAACGTTAACGAACACTAACGAACTCTTAACAAACGAACACGAACAGGATTTTCAAAAACCTTAACAAACGAACACGAACACGAACACTCCAAATTCCTTAACAAACGAACACGAACAAGCTCCGTTCGTTTATGTTCGGTTCGTTAACAGCCCTAACAATTACTAGTATAACTTGGTTAAACAATTGATAAACTATCTATGTTAGCAGGAAAACAAAGCACGTGTATTCGAACTTCAAATAATATTTAACGAGGGTTGTCTTTGCTTCCCTCCTACTCCACATACGCAAGCATTCATCTAATGGAGATAGGAGTATAGACTACATATCACTTGTCAAAGTTCAATGTAATTTACCTTTTTCTTTCTCGATATGATAAGCATTATCTTCCATGTGAAAGTCCGACCTCATATTAAGAAAGCTTAAGCCTTGCTATAAACACACTCAGCACCCTGGACAGGTTCAATCGGTCACTGTCCGCATGGGTTTAACTCACTGGTTCAGTATGCAGTATTTAGAAAAAGAGATTAAGATTTGAACCTCGGCAGCGATACTTTTCCTTGTACACAACGACATTTGACCATGTCTGTTAAGTCATTATTAAGTCACCATGATATACATCCTTCTAAATGCTTAATCTGTCGGGTCGAAATATGGAGATCTTTGGGATTGGAGAGAAGGTTCAAATGGTTGCAGTAAGGACCCAAGATTTCTACCCTTATTGGGTGATAATAAACATATAAACAAGATAAAATTCAAGAGGGATCATTACTGACCAGTAGGCAGGCCAGATAATAAAGGCATATAGACAAGCTGCAATAACAGATGAAAGCACTTAATAACTACTTTAACAGTAACATTTGTATGTGTAATTATAGGAACTAAGAAGTCACGTTTCATGCTGGGTTTCCAAGAAACATCTCACAGTTCAACTGGAAAACAACAATTAGAAAAACCAAGAGGAATGCAAGCTCATAGCTATACAACAAAATATTGGTAATCTATGCCCATATTTTGTCATCACCTCCAAACAAAATATATATGAACGATTTTTTTTTTAAAAAAAAATTTTAAAGAATGGTGATTATCCAAATCTAATTTATGCTGGCAGGCTGTAATAGGTGTATCTATATTAACATACCTTTGGTGATTTTATCCTGATTCCATTTTTATCCCAAAAATGACCTCCAAAATGAGTACATACAAAATTTAACGGAGTTAATATGGTATCATAGAGTATCATGCCGGACTCCAAATTAAAAAGTATGTTTAAATTAGTAGTTGTATTAAAAGCGCAGCCGGTAAAATAATTAGTTTATAGGTCAATTTTGATTTATTTGACCATTATTAATTATTTGACTTGGTTAAAAAAATTAATATAAATGTTTGATTTAATTTTTTGTAACTTCAAAATGTTAAAATTCAAAAAGCAATTAGTTTTTTGAGAAAAGAAATTATACCAAACAGTAGGAGTGCAATAGTTATGCTGTGCAACCGAATGTACCATGCGCATGGTGCATACGGTTCAAAACGACGTCGTTTTGACTAAAAACGCGCGTCCCACTTAAAAAAAAAAATCAGGTGCGATTCTCAGCAATAACATTATTGTGGATATATAGTTATGAAATTGTGGATATATAGTTATGAAATTGTGGTTATATAGTTCATTCATTGTGGATATTTAGTTCAATCATATATTGTGAATATTTAGTTCATTCATTGTGGATTTTTACTTCATTCATTGTGGATTTTTACTTCATTCATTCACTGTGGATATATAGTTATGAAATTGTGATTATATAGTTATAAATTTCTGGATATATAAAAATGCTATTGCCGGGAATCGAACCTGATTTCTTTTTTAAGTGGGACGCGCGCTTTTTTAACCAAAACGGCGCCGTTTTGCAACCGTATGCACCTTGCAAGGTGCATTCGGTTGCACAGCATAATTTGCGGTAGGAGTGGGAATAGGCCAGACCCCTTGTAGGGGCCTATGTCCAGGCCTAATTAAAGCCTAGTTAGGCCTAGCTCGTTTAGTAAAAAGGCCAGACTTGAGTCAATTTCAAAGCCTATTAAACTAAACAGGTCAGGCCTATATATACCAGGCTCGGCCTTCAGGCCTACAGGCCTGGCCTATATATATATATATATATATATATATATATATATATATATATATATATATATATATATATATATATATATACACATTATTTAGAATATAACCCCAAGTATATATAATTACCAAACCCTGACCCTGCACCTCCAAAATTTCATTATAAATTATGACTCGTCTATAAACATTGCTGTTAATCCTGTTATAAGTGTTCTTATTGTGTAATTTTTTTATTAACTGTTCTTACTATCATAATATTTAATGAAATGTCACAACTTAATTATGTGAGTTGATTGTTAATTATTTACGATATTATATAGGATAACAAACAATAATACAATTGAATTTATTTCTAAACAAGTTAACGAGCATGTTGAAATCGTGACTTATTTTGTTTTATTTTATATTTATTTGCTATTATGTTTGCATTGTGGTGATATACTTATGTAATTATGTATTAGTTTTGTATTAGGTACATTTCTTATATTATTTAGATATACTAAAGTTTTTAAAAAGTCTTAACATGTAGGCTTTAATAGACTCAAGGTAGGACTTGCTTTGAAGCATTTTTAATGACCTAAATATTAAACAGGCTTTTAAAGAGGCTTCAGGCCAGGCCAGGCTAATTGCAGGCTCAGGCTTGAGCCTAACAAAAAGCCTACATACAGGCTGAGGCCCGGGTCTAGGCCTTAGATTTTCATAACAGGCCCATGCCTAATTTTTCAAAGCTCGGCTCGGCTCGGCCCACTTCCACCCCTACCAAACAGCTATCAACTAATTTACCAAACACTTTACTACAATCAGTTAATATTATCAACTAATTATATCCTCTAATTAACTCAATCAACTAACGATCGTTTATCAAACGTGCCTATAACAACCTTTCTTGAACTATGACAATTTTCCCTAATCTCCTAGGCTCCATCAGTGGGCCAAAGAAAAAATTTGCAGCCCCCACGCTTGAAAATATCTTCCAATAGTCCATTGTTATATTATTAACACATTATGTACCTATAGTTAATAGTTTTTGTATATGTAAACAAATAACTTGATAATTGCTAACACATAATATGATAACTACAGGTACAGAAACTATCAACTGCAAATACATAATGTATTAACTATAAATACAGAATCTGACTTGATAATTGCTGACACATAATATGATAACTACATGTACATAAACTATCAACTACATATACAAAATATGTCAAATATAAATATAAAATTTGAAGGTTATTTTTTGACCAGATCTACAATACAATGTAGACCCTGGTCCATGGTATAATTTGCCTCAAATAGTAGGGTGGGGGTTCGAATCCACCACAAACAATCTGGGCAAATTTTACTTTAATAGAATCAGTAGTACTCAAAAAGAAAAAAATAAACACAATATGCTAGACAAGTTATTCAGTTTCATTTTAGGTACATTGTAGTTTCATTTTATTATGAACACAAAAAATACGAGATTTGTTAAAATTTAACGGCTGTTGTTTCTTTACTTAAAGAAATTGCGCCGTTTGGACCATGGTCTACTATATAACAACCGGGTTCGAACCCACCATAGACAATCTGGAGATGAGCTCCACAAATTTGGTCTAGGATTGGGGTTGGACTCTTTGTGCGCAAAAGAGTACAGTTTAGTGTGGGCTCAAAAAGCTAGGTAGGTTCGATTTACCTCCTCATGGGCCTAGGAGTAGGTTCATGCAATCGTTATGCTATGGACCCGTGTCCAGTATGCATTGTGGACACAGTAACGGTGCCGTTAATAACACCGTTATCTTCCACCATTTTTTAAAAAAAATTCAGACTGCTTTGTTATATGATCATATGTTATTTTATTACTATATGTTCATAATGTCAGAGCTCTGTGTTCATAATTCCATAACTGTACATTCACACTTCCATAACTGTACATTCATAATTTTCTAACTGTACATTCATAATTCAATAACTGTAAATTCATAATTTTCGAAGCTCTATGTTCACAATTTTAGAGCACTATGTTCAAATTTTATCACTCTATGTTAATAATTGTAAGTTCATAATGTCAGAGTTCATAATTCCATAACGTACATTCATAATTCCACAAACAAATAACGCCGTTAACGGTGAGACAAAATCATTCTTTTAACTGAAATGCCGTGTTTTCCTTGAAACAACGTCGTTTTGGACTCGTACCCACAATGCATTGTGGACACAAGTCTACGGCATAGTTTGCGAGGTTCATGAAGTTCAGAATATAGTCCAGCCAGAACATAGTCTAAGTTAGCCTGTTCCAATTTTCCTTTTGAGCTTCATTAAATTCTCATCTGAAGCTATAAGCATTCTAAACCATCCAAAACATTACCTTCAACAGCAACAAAAATCACATGACAACATTGACATAAACAAGGTCGTTTAGACAATCCAAATTAAAGGCTAGTTTATGTCCAAAAAACTAGTACTAAATAAAATTAATAACATTAAAGATAGGTTGTGCATAAAATAAATATAAGTAAATAAATATGTCGTAGTAACTACGCCACCCACATCATCCAAGGTCTGAGGAAGCAAGGTTCAAGAAAACACACATTTGTGCATAAAAACAAACACACTTTCATATTAAAAGTGAAATGTCACTTGTAGAGTGTAGTGAATGATTGGGATATTTTGCTTTTGCTCTCATGCATGAGTGTATGAAATAGCAGTCTTCCAATGCAGACAAACCTGGAGCATGGAAATCATCGTTTTAAAACGTTGTAGAAGAAGAAAGCTCTCTTTATCCAGCTGTGAAAATAACTATTCTAATGCATCACTGAGCCAGTAGTCCCTTGACTCTTGCAGCATCAACAGATTCTAACTACAGTTTGCATCAATCATAAGTGGATATCCTGAATTCAAGTCAATGAAGAAACTTTTTAAGAGAAATAATTTGAAGATTCAAAAAAACGGATAAAGCAAGACAGGTTGCTTTCATAAACTTATTGCTTAAGGTCTTGACACAAGTCATCCTATTGGCTTGTCTCTTCCTGGTTATTACTACAAGAAGAAGAGTGTGATGTGTGAAAGCTCTCCCTATATACATATGTTCCATTTTCTGTTTACTATGATTGTATCACCGAAAGACTAATCCGAAGACCCCTTCCGCTCGCTCTATGGCCAGCGGACCAGCCATTTCCAGTTTCCATTTCCCTCCAGGAGTCCGATTTCATCCCTCAGACCAAGAGCTAATTGTTTATTACCTATTCAACAAGGTGAACTCTCATCCCCTTCCTGCCTGCATCATCACAGATGTTGAGTTTTATAACTATAACCCTTGGGACCTACCTAGTAAGTAATCTTTCATTTCACTCATACGGATTCATGTTCTTAAGTTTTATGGTATTCTCTCTCAAATTGCATTATTAATCATATATGGGTTATAATTTTTTTGCATAAAAATTGTTAAAGAGTTGGCCATCTTTGGAGAGAATGAATGGTTCTTTTTCAGTCCAAGGGATCGCAAGTATCCAAATGGAGTCAGACCTAACAGGACAACGGCTTCAGGGTACTGGAAGGCTACTGGAACTGACAGGCCAATTCTTAGCCCTGATGGATCACAAATTGGTGTGAAGAAAGCTTTGGTGTTCTATATTGGAAAGGCCCCCAGTGGCCTGAAAACTGACTGGAACTTGATGGAGTACAGACTCCCAGACACCTCAATTAAGCCATCAAGACCAAAAGGGTCGTCTATGAGAGTAAGCAATTGCTCTATTATACTAATTAGTAAGCAATCATCGAATTGCAAGAAGAACAATTTTGCCAATAACAAGCTAGATTATCAGCCAATTTTGGCTTATTTGACCATTATTAATTGTTTGACTTGGTTAAAAAAATCAATATAAGTGTTTGGTTAATCAGCTTTTTGTAACTTCAAAATGCTAAAATTCAAAAAGCTGCTCAAAGCAACTTTTTCAATTAGCTTTTTGAGAAAAGAAATTATAGCAAACAGCTAATTTACCAAACACCATTGTATCAGCTAATGTTATCAACTAGTTATACCCTCTAATTAACTCAATCAGCTAACAGCCATTTACCAAACAGGGATTAAGTAATTCATAATATAACTTACCAAGAAACTTTTTACCCAGGAGAAGCCATTGTAGGATATATCACAAAAGCATGATCAACATGTCATCCTGAATATGTTAACCAAATAACACTGCTGGTCTAAGAGCATAGAGTTACTTGATCCTCCTCCTCCATCTGCTCTTCCAACAGAAACTTAGGCCAGAGACTGCATGTACAATCAAGAAAACCAACAAATAAAGCACAAGAGAGACAAATATGAAACACAACAATGATACGAACTGTGTTGTTATAGTATGAACCACAACTTCTCTCAAAATAAATAAATATTAGTATGAATTGTCTGAGAATTTGACCATCTTACAAGAACCTATTATAATTCGTTGCAGTTGGATGATTGGGTACTTTGTCGGGTTCGACAAAAAGGCAACATGTCAAAGAATGCATGGGAGGCTCAGCCAAGTCCCCAAGAATTGCTGCTGAGTTACCTTCCAAATAACGAAAAGCCCCCTTCAGTAAATGATGATCCACTAAGGGACGTACACACACACTATTTGTTAACTAAAGAAAATTCCTTAATATACTCCATGTTTATGCAAGGTCTCATCCCCTTGGAGAACATTCTTAGAGCAGCCTCTCAGTTCAGCAGTGATGGAAAGTATTATACAGGCTACGAACATGAGTCAGGCAAAGTGAACACTCAAGTAACAAACTCTAGCTTGCAGAGTTTCTTCGGATCTTCAAAGAGAAAACATGATGATTTGATCAAGACAATCTCTGATGGGAACAAGAATGAGGATTTTCTGTTAAGCAACATGCTGGCCACCAACCACAGAAACTTCTATAATGAAAATCAGCCTCCAGTTGACACCTTCAGTGAAATCCAATACCAAATGCCATGATGAGCCTAAAGAAGGTTAACATCTCTGCATCATCAGATTGGTCTATACCTACCTTCAATTTACTGCAAAGCTATCATGTTCTAATAATGATCACAAATAACACACGTACTAAATAATATGGTGTAAGATATTCATAAGGTACACAAATCAAATCATCTGAGCACATCACATTGTCACATAAATAATGTCATAGCTTGCTAGCATCAATCAATAAAGTAAAAAAGCCTCATGTGTGCATAACAACCTCATAAAGTCATAATGCAATTTATCTTTTCTACTATTACTTTGCCACATTATCTGCTCTTTCATTTAATTACTTTACTCCAATTGCAAAGTTGAGAGCCTCAATGGGATCATATATTTATGCTGCATCTATCGCAATATGAACATTCATGCAAGTTATCAAACATTTGAGGGAACAGTTAGGGCAAACCTTGTGGCTCAACATCAATCAATTATAAATAATCAAATGCAAGATTCAGCAAGCTACACCTGCGTTTTTCTATAAGTTCAGTTCAAATTTCAAGCTTGAATAGACTGGAATTACCGATTCTATAGCATCTGACTTTATTAGAAACGTTGTTTCCAACTATAGCATGCTGGTACAAATAAATTTAACAATCGGAAACGAACATTCAAAATGCTGAATTGATTACAGATAATTGACAAGAGCGAATAGAACACAGTATAACCTTCTTCTTAGGGGATAGCGTCGACTCTGAAGAATGTGGGCGGCGCTCGTAGTAGTAACGGAAAATTGAAACCGCAGAAGAGAAGAGAGAAAGAGCCGAGAGGAAAGATAGAATCCGCAGGAAATCGCAACCTTGTTCACCGACACCGTAGAAAGCACTTCTCCAGTGGCGGGAGATTTTTGTTTTAGTTGCATTTTATTCACCATTCGCTACTCACCTATTACACTATTTCAAACTACTTTTATTTAAGAAAAGCCTAGCACTCACTATCTACAAATGGAGCGTTATATTGTGCAACCGCGTGAACCATTCACGATTTCAATTCATAATTTTTATATTATAAATTCATAATTTCTATATTGTAAATTCATAAAATTTATATTATAGATTCATAATTTCTAAACCGTAGATTCATAATTTAAATACAGTAGATTCATAATTTCTATACTGCAAATTTGTAATTTATGTATTGTAAATTCATAATTTTTAAATTTTATAGTTATCAAATTATGAACATATAGTTATGTGATTTGTGAATACAAAGTTCAACAATTGTGAATATGAACATCGAAAATTATGAACATATAACTCTATAATTATGAACATATATTTATAAAATTATGAACATATAGCTCTATCACATGTTCACAAATTTAATACTATAGATTCATAATTTCTATACTATAGATTTATAATTTAAATACAGTAGATTCATAATTTCTAAACTGTGCGATTGCAAAGAAAGAATGGAATGTTTGAATGCGAAAGGAAACCGCCTAACGCCGTTAACGTCAATGAAAAAGGATTTTTTTTGGATTTTTTTTTTTAAAATTTGGAACGACATCATTTTGCAACAGTGTACCATGCATGGTGCACACGATTGCACAACATAATTTGCTTCTACGAATGACAAAAGACACCTTTTTACTGTTTGACCTCAATTAAAAAAATTATTACTTTTTTAAGTTGGAAGAAAAAGGGTGAAAAACCTTGTGACCAAGTGGCATAACTGTGATTCTCCCATTTGGAAGAGACACATAACTGTGGCTCTCCCATTTGGAAGAGTCACAAGTTCAAACGCCAGTAAGAGCATTAACTCTTTGTGTGTTTCAAAAAGTATATATGGATAGATACTCTATTGACTCAATAATATTAAAAAAAAAAAAAAAAAAAAAAAAAAAAAAAAAAAAAAAAAACAGAGCGTATTAAGTAGTAAAGATTGGATGTGATAAAATGTGAGTTTTTTACTTTCACTGTTTAACCCTCCCTAATAATTGGTCCTCTTCTAACCCTTTTTTTTTTTTTTTTCCTGTATGCATAATAATTGAATAATACATGTTATTCGATCGGACCTGGTAATTGGTATAGTGGTATACTGTACATTTTACTGCGATGCAACAATTTATCCTTCCACGTTCCATCTACCTTATTCACAAGAAAGAAGAGAAAAAAACAGTGGAAAGTGATCCAAATCCCCAATCTACATAAAGCAATAGTTTTAGGTTTAACTAGATGCTCAACAATGAAATTATTGACAGGATTTATCTATGGAAAAAATCATGGTACACAAACGAATAGTGAGAGCAGGAAAGACAGAACGATTACACGATGAAAGTCAGTTGTGTTCTCTGATGGGTCTCCAGGATCGACCAAACTTCTGCTTTTGCTTCTCCTGCATCATCGGAACTTTGTCTTCTTTTCTTTTGTTGCTACAATCATTAGGAATTTCTTGTTTCCAACAACATTGTGCTGAAATGACTTTTCTTAGCTATCAAATGCTTCTCCGGCCATGTAATGCTTCCGCACCATCTTTCTGTACTCTGCAACAAAAGGTTTAAGAAGGCATTACACTGCAAAGATATGTAGACTAAGCTCTTGACACCATTGGCATGCAATTCTCGAAACAGCAGCAATTATCTAGCTCTAGAGACTTGATGGAACTGAAATAAGCACATGCATGCTTTGTGTAATGTAAATACATATTTCACTCAATTTTAAGCTAAGAACAAACAATTAATTAATAATGTCCCATGCAACAAAAACCATAATTTGCATACTAGATGAGTAAGTTACAAGCAATCTGCCACCAACTTTTTGCAGCATTCCAATCTGAAGTTATATATTCCTTAAAATATTACATCCATCATAATTATTAATCATCTCCTTCAACTGTACAACCCATACCTTGTCTAAACTCTAAAGAAATGTGCATATCTCAACTTTTGTATGTAGGGGATCAAAGTTGAGAGAGGGTCAAGCTGTAAATTTTTAAATTGAAGAGTAACTGGATAACGCTTATTGTCATGCACTGGTGGCACATAAAATATTTAGGTTGTTAACAACCCTGACCTAAAACATGACCTTCCAAGGTCAATTATGATAACAGAAAATGGAACACTGACCTTCTTGGTTCTTCCAAAGTGCAGCAGCAGAGCTGTTAAGAGGGCTTTCAGTGTTTGGTTCTGCATATAGAAAGTTAGAATCAGGCAAAGGAGCATAGTCCAACAAAACGATGAAGGTACAGCAATGCTCCAAACCTCCTAATAAACTCTGGATGGAGAGAAGAATGGTTCTGCAATCATAAGCTGAAGACCATTTGTCCTGCATGATTTATCAATACCATTCTGAAATCTGAAGAAATTAAACTTGGATGATAAATTTATAGAAAGATACCAAGATGATTCATACCTGAAGGATATCTAAACAAATATTTCCGTACTGGTCAACATTTGGGTGGAAGCACATTGTCTCAAACTTTACTTGAGGTGGCTTGAAAGGATAATCAAGGGGAAAGTGCAAAGAGAGTTTGTACAATAGACCCTCATACATTGTTCCTTTTCCACCTTCAATAGTGCCAATCCAAGTAAAGATGCTCTCCCCTTCAGGGAAAGCAGATACATCAAGGTCTCCTCCTGTCATCTACGCAAGAAAAAGCCACTCTTCAGTTACTTACTAAACAGCTTGAAATATGTAAACAACAAAAATTGAAAACACAACACTTAAAATTTATGGAGTATTCACACAATATGATCAAATCTAAACTAAACAGGTGACAAAGAGCATTTTTAAATAAATAAAAATAAAATCAATCTAAGAAAAAGATTCAACGGTTTTCACTGTTTCCTTTTTTCTTGGCAAGTAATCAATCACAAGAAAGCACAGCAATTAATTCAGGAGCATCTTTCTTTAACTACAACTGTAATGTTTAATTACCAATAAGGCAATAATAACGAACAATCGAACATACCAGCATATACAATACAGACAAATACGGAGTATACAACAGAGATAGAAGTAGAGAAGATGTACCATTAAAGCCATGAGCTCCTTCTGCAACCTGTATAACAGCAAAAATTCATATAAATTCATGAAATTCGACTCCAAACTCACACGAATTAACTTCAGAAAATCACGGAGTAGAAAATAAGCCAAGTATAGGATGGTGAATTCGACCTCTGCGTTACGGAAACAGTATCGACGGGGGTAGGAGACGCCTTGAGTTGCTTGGACGATCGTTCCCGAGCGCGATGATCATCCGACAGATTGTCCGTTCGCCGATCGCCTCGAGGCTCCATCGCCGACGAGTTTCGAGGAGAAAAGTGAAAAGCGCAGGCGAAATGAGATCGCAAAATGGATGGGAGGGAGGGAGGGAGGAAAAATTAGTTAGTCGGAGAGAGGGAAGAGAAGGGGCAGCGGGAGTCGCAGTCGTTAACTAAAATGCGTAGTGGGTGATGAGGGGATGTTAGGAAATTATTATTATTATTATTATTATTATTATTATTATTATTATTATTATTATTATTATTATTATTATTATTATTGTTATTGTTATTGTTATTGTTATTGTTATTATTGTTATTATTATATTATTATTATTGTTATTATTGTTATTGTTTTTGTTATTGTTATTGTTATTGTTGTTATTATTATTATTATTATTATTATTATTATTATTATAGTAAATACCCAAAATGGTCCCTCGACTATAGCTAAATTCACAAATTGATCATCGACTTTCAATTTCAACCAATTAAGTCCTTAACTTTTTAATTTTAACACGATTTGGTCCTTCGTCTATTTGACCGATTGTTGACCGTGATCTTTGAGGATATAAATGTAATTTCACATGCAAAGCTCAAGAAAAGAGCTGACAACGCTGTTTCGGAGGGAGAAGTGCTTCTCCGCTTGCTGCTTGGGGATCACGAGCCGGTTTAGCTTAGAGAACTCTCTTGGAGGTGACAACGCCATTTCGGAGGCGAAGTGTTTCTCCGCTTGCTGCTTGGGGATCACGAGCCGGTTCAGCTTGCCTACGTCGCTTGGAGTCACGGCTTTCTCGAAGAGCTGCTCTAGGGACTTCGTCGATCTATCAATCAAAAGCTATAATATCTCCGGCATGGGGTGCAGCGCTAGTCAGATCTCGATCAATCTCACACGTGACCTCCTGTACGTGCACCCCAACTCTAACGCCCTAGTGGTTAGCATAGAGATTATTACGCGCAACTATTACAAAGGATCGGAGAGAGCTATGCTCCTCCCTAACTGTCACTTTAGAATGGCCGGCGACGCGATTCTCATGTCCAACAAGAAGCGCGATTCGGTTCGGGCTAAGTACTGGCTTATGCACGTGGTTCGCACGCACAGGGGCACCTACGACAAAACCTACTGCTAGTTTACGAGCAAGAAGATCCGCAAGGGAAATTCGAAATCAATTCAACCTCTCAAAAGACCGCTGGCGAAGCCCTCAAATCCAACATAACCATAATCGGCCCGCTCATTCTCCTAGCGTCGAAGCAGCTCCTCTTCCTCTTCACCTTAATCGACCGGAAAATCTTCGATCCCAAATGGAAACCCTACATTCTCGACTCCAAACAGGCCTTCGAACACTTCTGTATCAACATCGGCGGCCGCACTGTCATTGACGATCTCTAGAAGAACCTACAGCTCTCGTTGGAACACGTAGAGGCCTCCAGGATCACGTTACACCGTTTCGGAAACACGTCGTCTTCTTCGCTCTGGTACGAACTCAACTACATTGAATCCAAAAGGAGGATGAAGAAAGGCGACCGGATTTGGTAGATTGCTTTCGACAGTGGATTCAAATGTAACAGTGCGGTCTAGAAATGCAACCGGAACCTTAAAAAACCGACGATGGACCATGAAATTACATATATATACATATATATATATATATATATATATATATATATATATATATATATCCTAAAAAATAACAGTCAACAAACAGTCAAATAGACGGACGACCAAATCGTGTTAAAATTGCAAAGTTAAGGACTTAATTGGTTGAAATTGAAAGTCAATGATCAATTTGTGAATTTAGCTATAGTTGAGGGACCATTTTGGGTATTTATTATTATTATTATTATTATTATTATTATTATTATTATTATTATTATTATTATTATTATTATTATTATTATTATTATTATTATTATTATTATTATGGTGATTATGATGATAAAGATTAAGATTAAGATTAAGATTAAGATTAAGGTTAAAGTTAAGGTTAAGGTTAAGGTTAAGGTTAAGATTGTTATCGTTATCGTCATCGTCATCGTCATCGTCATCGTCATCATTATTATTATTATTATTATTATTATTATTATTATTATTATTATTATGAAAAAGTACACTTTTCGTCCCTAAGTTATAGGGTAATTGTCGAATTCGTTTCTGAGTGTTGGTCCTCACTTTTCGTCCCTAAGTTACATTGGCGTTGCACTTTTCGTCTCTGAGTTATATTGTAATTGTAAGTGTTGGTCATATTCACTTTTCGTCCCTAAGTTATCATTGGCGTTGCATTTTTCGTCTCTTTAATAATAAAACATTCACTACTACAGAACATAGTTACTACCGCAGTTTTTTATACACATACATGGTTTTTTTCGAAGTGTCGCGTGTGTAAGTAAATCTTTTCGTCCCTTCAAGCTGCGAAATTTGTTTTGTATGCGCATTGCAGCAACATGTAAAGGTTCATTATTTTGTCATGCTCTGTTATTCCTCACAACAAGCTGAAGTGAAAGGGCACGCTCATCTGATAAGGCATTCTTCTAAATGATTGGACTCTGAAAACTTGATGAATGCGAGCAGCTGCTTGGGTTGCATTTCCGATAGCAGCTAGTGAGTCCTTTAATGACAGTCCATAAGGCCAATCACCATCATTAAGAGGAGTAGCAGCCCGTTCAGAAACCACACGGATAGCGTTTGCCCAATAAGAATCTCCATTTATATCCTCTTTATTTTCTTTCAACTCAAGGGATGAAAGGTGGCCTGGGTACTTGCTTCTGCAAGATAGCCAGCAAGTCCGTTGTGCCCATTGCTTGATGCTAAGTCAACACGTGAGGAAAACTAAAGCGATATGGAAAACTACCATCCGCTCTTTGATGTAGTAAAAGAAAACAAAAAAGAACATTCAGAAACAGGTCAAACACAATGAACTGCAGCATCTAATTAAAGAAGCTGATTCATCGCTATTGCTCCGTGGTTGTTTTGCATAAATATTGGGAATTGAATATTTTAAAATAGTAATGAGTAAAACTGAATGGATATATGCTTTCAAAAAAAATGAATGGATATATTGTGAGGGAATTGAATATTTTGAAAAACAGCTAGCCTACTGATGAGCTATAGGTGAGTGCGGATTTGGATGCGTAACAAACAGATGGGATTTGACTATTTGAGAAGACGCGGCGCTCTGTAGCTGTTGCAAACACTGGCTTCTGCATAGCGATAATATACGTGTCCTTTCATCACATCTTCACCAACCAGGAGGTTCAAGATTTGGTGAGATACTGCGTGGATGAGTACTGGGTGAAGCCGAGTGCCCTGCACAAGTGAAGAAGAAAGCAATCACAAGAAATGACCCTTTTAACCTTTCACTAACCCCTAACAAACAAATAATTAACGGAAGGACCAATACTGGAACAAATCTGATAGTCAAAGGTCTTTTTTGTCCAAATTAAAAGACAAGGATCAATTTTGGAAAATCACAATAGTCGGAGGACCATTGCTGGAATTAACTCTATACACTTTCTACGACAGTTTTGGAAACCGTCGTATATGTTAACTATATACGACGGTTAAACAACTGCCGTGTATGTCAACTATATACGACGATTATGTAAAATACCGTCGTCTATTAAGTGATGTAATATAACATAATATATTAGACGTCGATTATTTAAAAATTGTCGTCTATTAAGTGACATAAAAAAATTAATTAAGGTATATACGGCGGTTATTTGAAAAACCGTCGTCTATTAAATGACGTAGTATAACAAATTACATTAATAAACATCAAGTTCATAAACTCTATAGGGACGGGGACGGGGAATGGGAAGAAAGTCGGGGGCAGGAATGGGTGTATGTCCCCCGCCCCCACCCCGCCCCATTGACATCTCTACTTGTCCATGTTTGATGCATTCTCAATATATGAACTTTCTATAACAATATCTCATCAAAGGTAACAAACTCTCTAACAATATAGAACATTACATCAATATGCTTGGTTTTGGCATAATATACTTGATTTTTAGCATAAAAGATGGCACTCTGACTGTCACAATGTAACTCAACTCTACCTTGCTCAATACCCATTTCCTAAATAAACTTGAGAGCCACAAAGCCTCTTTAGATACCTCAGTCACAACTTTGTATTCTACCTCACTTGTAGATAAAGCTACAATGGACTAAATTGATGATCTCCAACAAACATGACCACCACTAAGAGTCACTACAAGAAATCTTTCATTCCCGACGAAAATTTTAATGACGCTCTAGAAAACGTCGCTAAATATAACAATTTGTGACGATATATTAAATAACGTCACTATATATTTTGGTAGAGACAATAATTTTCTTTGGTAATATTTGCTGACGAAATATAATTTTTTTGTCAGTAAAGATATAGAATCAATGACGTTTTATAATAAACGTCCCTAAATGTTGTATTTAAAAAATTAATTTTAACACAAAACGTCAGGAAAAATGAATATTTTTGCGGGAAAACTATTTATCCTTTGGCACTATTTTATACACAAAATTTTCACAAATCTTCCTCATTTACTCCAGTGAACCCTCTTTGTCTCCCAGTCAACCAGTATTACTCTCTTTGTCTCTCAATCTCCGTCTCTCGCAAACCCTAAAATCCTAATCGCAAATTGCAAATTGCAACCCTCTCTGCTTCTCTCCCTCGCTCCGTCTCTTAATCTCTCAAAAGACTGTCATAGCCCGCCAGCCCTCTCGCCTGTCGCCACTCAAGCGCTCGCTGCCTCGCCGGTCGCCGCTCAAGCGCTCGTTGCCTCACCGCCTCATTGCCCTCACCCGTTGCAGACTCTTGGTTCTTCACTTCTTCGAAGTTCCAACTATCAAGGTAAGTTATTAACTTGCATACTAATTTTATAATTTTCATTTGATTATTTGTTCACTTTGATTGTTTAATTTATATTAAGAAAATCACACAGATGTTTATTTTTAAAAATTTGCAGTGTTTCTCTAGTGGCTTAAATGTTGACATTGGAAGAATTTTTAGTTTGCAGGTTTAGTTTTTGTATTCTTGTTCACTTTGATGAGTTAATAACTATTGGAATAGCTTTTGTTGAAATAAAAGAATGTTTTTGTTCCTCATGTGTTTGTGAAAATATCTCACTAAATATGTGTTTTGTGCCCACGAGCTATATGTATCCTGTCAATGTAAGGTAAGAATAAATAAGCTATGATTTTTATTATTTTTTTCTTACATTTGCTAATGGTACTGGTTGTCAAGTACTTGAGCAGTATTTAGCTATGAATTCCTGATTGTTCTGCTTTATTTGTTCATGAATCAAGAAAAGATAAAGTGGGGTTTAGGCAGTTGACATATCACCTTCAGTAGCTTATGACCTGATACAGGTAGTGGTGAACAATGTTATAATTTTTGTAATTTATAATGTGTGTTGGAGTTATATCTATTAATTTCTCACTCAGGTTTCCAAATTATTGGGTTTTGCAGGAGTCAGTGATGCATTCTGCCTCATTCTGTTGTGATTATCAGTTCGAATCATAGAACATTTGTACTACATTGAGATGGTATTCTAGGCAAAGGTCAATACTTTACCCAGTCTTGTTCTTGGTTTGCTAGATTATCCAATTTACAAAAGTTGTTTTTTATTGTTTATAGCTGGTGTTGCATTGAAAGAGGAACATTGAGTTTTAATTTAATTATTTAAGGATTTAGGTAGTTAAAATATCAAACAATACTGGTAATAAACTAATGATGATAGCCATTGTGGTGGTGGACTCTCTAGGTGCCTTCAGTGCTTTCTGTTGTAGTTGCTTAGAGTGTTTGATAATTGGGAAAAAAATATTCCCCTATAATTGGGGTTGAAAATAAGGAGTAGATAAATTATGTATAACTTGCGGTTAATTTGGATTTTCATCTATAATTGAGTTATGAGAAGTGTTTTTTTTTTTTTTTCTCCTTGGAAAGTTGCTAACCAAATATTTTCAGATGTTTCAACCTGCAAAGTCAATTTGATCATAACAAATAAAAACTTATACATGTTTTAGTGTTACTAAGAACATAATATCAGATGCGCTATTAACATATATCAAATAAAAACTGAACTGATTGTGATAACCAGACTATGGTATTCTAGCATATATTAAGTATTACTTTAAGGGCATAGAGGAAGTGTATGCACAAATAATAAACAGATGCTGATTATTAGTTTATGAGACCAGTTAATTGTCATTGCTATTGGAATTTTAATGTATATTTCTTTTGCGAAGCTAGGCAAAGACTTGTCTTAGATTGATTTTTGTTATTTATCAGTTATTGATGCTTTTAAAAAAAATCATATTAATTGTTATATGTATATACCTTTGTTACTCTGCTTTGGTGATTGTTTGGGTATGTCAAGCACAGAATTTTATAGCATTATTAGAGTAACATGTGATGTCAATAATTTAGATAAGGAACACAAGAACAGCCAACCGCGCACACTGGGCAATTCACAGGCTACAAGCTAATACCTGGATCAAATTTTTTGCCATTAGCTGGTGGAAATGCAAAATTTCTAAGAAGAGCTGCTTTCTTAAAACATAACCTTTAGGTTCTTTGGTTAGTCTTCCCTCCATACATGATAAGCATATATACCTCATCTATCTAATTATGCATTTGACTTACATACATTTTTTTCCAATGATATAGATGGCATGGATGCTTCAGCGGCATATGTGGCAAGCTTGTTGGCTATTGAGCCTCCTGATAGTGAGTTTTTATCTCACAGTTCTAGAAATATAATTCCTGCCTAAAGATATTTAGATTGAGTGACTATCCTGGAAAGTTTCTTAAATGTTTTAGTATCTTTCCTAATGCCTTCTTCATTTTTAATGTCTTTGCTGAGTTGCAGGTTCCATATGACAGTATGACTCCTCTGCAAGCTTCCCTTGGGGTGAGACTGGTCAGTAGCAACAAGTAAATTGAAAATAGCTCAAGTCTCGTGTGGTTGGAGGCATACAGTTGCTTTTACTGAAAGGCAAAATGTCTATTCATGGGGGAGAGGAATAAATGGACAGCTAGGCCATGGCAAATCTGCTTACAAGTAACAGTAATAATCCAGTAAAGATTATTGGGAAAATAATTTCTTAGACTAGCTGAAATTGAGATACATATGCGGCATCGGTACTGATGAGTTAGAATGAATTTGTTAGAAAATTTTCAGAATTGGATAAGTAGTTGTGTGGCCTGAAATGTGAACTAATAATGTTAATTTTGTATTGTTTTGAATTGTGAAGGAATGCCCCAACAATCATACAATCTTTGAGTGTGGATAGATCAAGTGGACAACTGATTGAAGCTTCAAATTTTGATCCATCATCAGGTTACGTGACAGACGAAATTAAACTGCCAGTCTCCGCATATACATTTTTGGTGTTTTTAGTTAGTTTTGTGATTTACAAAATAAGCTACTTATTTAACTTTTGTAGATGCTTTCGCTTGATTTTCTTTTTAATTCAACATTCTTGAAAGATTATAGCTGGCATTGTCTATTTCTTTATTTCAAATATTTGTATCATATTACATCCTTGTAATTCAATATTATACTATGAAAAATACTTCTTCTATTTTGAACATTTAATTGATGCTAAAATATTTTATTTTCAATCACATGAAATTGTTCTGTAAATCTTTTTATATACAAATATATGTAAATTATCATCAATTATTTAAAAAATTGCATATATCTCCAAATACAAACATACTATGTTGTAGAATGCTTGTTATCCATATCACTAGCATAATCAGAATCCACATATCCCATGAGTGCAAGCTCACTCATTGACTCCTAAACACAATACCATACTCCATAGTGCTCCTTAAGTACCGAAGAATCCACTTAACTATCTCCCAATGATGCTTCCTAGGTTTAGACATGTATTTACTAACTTGGATAACAACATGAGCCAAATAAGGTCGAGTACAAACAATTGCATACATTAAGCAGTCAATTGCATTGCGTAGGAAACCGCATTGCGTAGGAAACCTTTGTCATATCTCCAATCTCACTAACTGTCTAGGGACGCTAACTAGATGAGAGCTTAAAATGATTAGCCAAAGGAATGCTAACCAGTTTATACTGACTCATCCCAAACATGTCAAGGATCTTCTCAATATAACTCTGTTAAGATAGCCACAACTTCCTCACACCATTATCTCTACGAATTTCCATGCCAATAATTTTATGTGGAACAAAAACATAGCCAGAACAATCATTAACTCATAAGTGATCAAAACTCACTGGATTACTTGACCAAACTTCCTCAGAAATCTTACCACCAAGTGATGTATGTGTGATATATTGATCAAATAACAAGTTATGCTCACTGCTTCTACCCAAAAACACTTAGAGAGCCCAACATTCAATCTGAGACACCTTGCTCTCTTAGTAATGGTTTTATTAAGCTGCTCAACAACCAACATCACCATTATGTTATGGTGTCTTATGCACTATATAGTGCCTATTAATTTCATGCTCTGCACAGAATTTATGATTTTGTTTTTTTATATTCTATCACATTGTCATATCTCAAGTACTTGATTTTTCTGCCAGTCTCAGCCTTCCACAACTTGAATTTCGTAAACACTTCATATTTCTGTTTCAAGAAGGGAAAATTATAATTTATTCCCCTTCATATTATGTCAATTATCAATGTCACTCCTGAATTATTAGTGGTGTAAATGTTGCCCTTCAATTTTCAAAATAGTACATATATTGCCCCTCCCGTATGATACGAGAATAAAATTGAGGGGCAAAATTTACACTACGGGAGGGGCAATATATATACCGTTTTGAAAATTGAAAGGAAACATTTACACCACTAATAATTCAGGAGTGTCATTGATAATTGACATATTATGCAGGAGCATAAATTACAATAGTGGGTCCCCAAACATCAGAATGCACACAATAAAAAACTCATCCAATTTTATGTTTCTAGTAGAAAAATCGACTCTGGACTGTTTCCCAAAGACACATAACTCACAGAAATCTAGCTTACAACATTTAACACATTTTAACATGTTCCTTTTATGTAATTCAAACAAACCGTGTTCACCAAGATGACCCAAATGTAAATGCCACAACCTAGTTGTATCACCACTAAACTCAACAAAATTGCCCAACAACCTATAAATGTTTCCTGTAGTCCTTTTCCCTTTCATCACAGTTAGAGCACCCTTACTGACTTTAATGATTTCCATATCATTTTCAAATTTATGAATAAAACTATTAGCATGCAGATTAATAAGAGAAATTAGCTTCTTAGTTAACCTCAGTATATGTCTACATAATGCAAAATTCTGATATACCATCATACATATGAATGTCAACATCACCAATACCCACAATATTATGATATTTATTTTCACCCAGAAAAATAGAACCAAAATTACCTTACATGTAGGATGTGAACCACTTTCTTTAGGCGTAATATGATAGGAACATCCAGAATCCAAGCATTTGACAACTGAGATGACGAAACTACTAGGACATCACCTTCACTATAATTTGATTCATCACCCTGCACCACATTCACGACATCTTATTGTTTCTTCAACCTTAGATAGTTTCTTTTCATGTGCCCAAACTCCTTGCACTTGTAACACCGAATCTTCTTATTATTTATGGACTCAGACCTGGATTCTATCATCCCATAATTATCATTTCCTTGCTTCCTTCCACGATCTTGATTTCACTTAGCATACAAACTATCACCAACAATGTCTTCCCTAACATTCTATCTAAGTTGATTTTAAGCAAGTAGAGCTACAAAGGTTTCATTAACTTTGATCGTGACTTTTCCTTATGTAACAGTAGTCACCAGGTGTTCAAAGAAAAGTGGCAGTGAACATAACAAGATCATCACCATGTATTCATCTTCAATCTCAACATCAAGTTTGGCCAAATCTGAGATTATATGTTTGACACCCCAAAAATCCACATTCCATTCATGGATTAATTGAGTAATTAATCCTATTTTTACTTGAGAAATTAATTCTTAAAATCCTGATTTTTAATACTCAAGGACTAGTATTTGACTAGTCAATCTTTAAGTTGTGTTGTACCTTGAGCTTTGAGGGGAGTTCCCTTGTTCCTTACACTTTCTAGAGCTTAGTAAGGGTATTCTTGACTTTGCACCAAGAGTTAGTATTGTAACCTAACCTAGAAGACTTCTTCATTTCATTCCTTACAATTCCTAGAAAATTTCTCTATCTTCTCTCTAGAAAAGAGGTGTAGCTTATTCTCCAAGCTAAGTTGAGACCCTTGTCAAGATTTCAAGTTTGCTTCCAAGATTCAACCTTTCACCTATTTGGGCATCTAGGAGGGTAAGATCTAAGGTTATCTTGTCTTTTTGGTTCCATCTTAGTTGTCTTTTTCTTAAAGGTAGGATCTTTATGATCTTTTGGTTTGATCTTGAAGTGGGTTTGAGAAGTAAGCCTTGTAAGAAGCTTGTTGGGGGTAAAGTGAAGTCTTTTGGTCTACAAGAGGTAACCCATGCTCTACTAAAACCTAATTTGCTTACCTATATGTGATTTCTTGGATTCTACTTGTTCTTTACTATGAAATGTGAGGGTTTATGCATTTGTCTTGTGATATTCCATATCTAGAGCTTGTGTTTAGGGTTCCTTTGTGCCATTGCTTGGCATTTTCCATGGTTCAAGTCATTTTGTTGTGTTGGGTGAGATTTGGCATGTTTTGGACTTGAAGTTGTGTTTGGAGAAGAAAATCCCCGAAGGGATTATTTTGCACAGGAGTATGTACCCGCGGGCGGAACGACGGGGAGAGCCCTACCCGCCGCCCACCCGCAGGTACATAGGATTGTGGTTGGTGTACCCGCGGGCCGAACCACGGGTAGGGGCTTACCCATGGGTCCACCCGCGGGGAACACAGTGGAGTTGGAATGGGATTTGTTCCCCGTGATTCATTTGTCTCGGTATTTGATCCTTTGACTTCCCGATATTCTTTTATGGAACTTTTTGAGTGTCTTCTTGATTTTTCGTATGTCTAGAGCTATATGGTAGGTATCCATGTAGGACTTTGGTGTCTTGAATCGTGCTAAGTGTTCAACATTGTGTTTCGTTGAACCGAGAGGTGTCTTGTGTGTTCTTCGGAACTATCTTGAGTTTCCCCGTTGATAAGCATGCTAGTTTGTTGTCTTAATGCTAGTGTGTGTGTGGTTTGTACCTTTCATTGGGTTGATGTTAACTTGCGTTATTCATCGTTGTTGTTGTTGGGCTGTGACCCGTTCCTTGATTGAGTATGTTTCATACCTTCGTTCCGATCCGTTGTTTGACTCGTGTTGAGTTGTGGTGCGTGTGTGGCTTTACCTGGATTGCACGATTAGTGGTATGGGACACTAGTCACCAAGGTATTGCAGCGGTCCTCGTGGGGGCCGTGGCGTGATTATGGAGCTGTGGCCTTTGTGTAAGGTTCACGTTTTTGGGGGATAACAGGTGTTATCCAGGCTGTGTGCCATGTCCGTGATAGTGCCGCGGGTACTATGAATTGGTGGTCGTTCGTTAGTGGTTTGTTGGTGGGGGAATGGCGATTCCCAGCGGAATAAGGTTGGACTATATGTACAGGGGTTCTGGAGGTAAAGGTTGGAACTAGATATAAGGTTGGGGGTAGCCATAAGGTTGGAACAGGGCATAAGGAAGGCATATCAATTCGTGGCGGGTGATGTCACGAGGGCTTGTGTAGCCGTGGTTGTGTGTTCTCTCTTGTGACGTGTGTAGTCACAAAGGCATGTGCTGCCTAGGCATGTGTTGCCGGTTGTTGTGTCTTTGTTCTTATGGTGTCGTTAGCGTTGTGGTCTTGGGATGTGTTCCCGTGGTGTTTGATTGATGAGTGTTGAGTCTTGAGTTTGGTGTTTACTCTTGGTTTTACACTTATATATACGTATTCCGTTTCAAAATGATTTTTGTATATATCCTACCTATGTATGATACTTAACAGGTATTGGTGGGTTACCAGCATTATCGCTGACCGGTCGTCGTCCCAATGTTTATCTTTGTATCTTTCAGGTGATGTCTAGACGAGCGCGATGTTTAGAAGCCGGTAGTCTAGCACCTTTTTCTTTCTGTTGTGGCCTGTGTGCCGTAGTAGTGATAGACTGATGTCTCTTTGGGATAGTTGTATACACTTGCAGATTGTTCGCCTTAGCGTTTACCGGGTTTGGTAGACGTGGCATAACACCCCATTCGGATTTCTTTTATCCATTTTTTCCTTTTATCTTCCGCTGTGCTAGTTTTGTGCTTGATCTGCGGTGTTAAGGCCCTTTTATATAGGTCGTGTTTGGGGGGTGTTACAATATGACTGAAGA